GGTCGAGCTTGTTGGACTGGAATAATGACACTGAGGACTTGGGCAATGTGGCGAGATACCAAGATCGTCTCTCGATTTCTCTGCATTGTCGGGCCTGCGTTTGTAATCACAACCGTCGTATTTGTGCCCATAAGAGATGTTGAATCGCGCCGTGAGTTTCCGTTTTTAGTCTTGGCTGTGGGTTGCTAACTGGTTCTCTGCATAAGAATTGACACACTGGGATCCGGAACGTGAATCGTGTGTTCGGACAGGACCGTCAGCATCGTGGACCAAAGTACCGGCTATTTTGGGCGTCACCTATACATTATTCTTGACTCTTATCACCACGTTTCGATGCGTTCAATATGTTCGATTCAGCTTGGACGGACCATCCTACTCTTCCAGATTGGTACGCAATATGTGCATCTGACTTGCCGTCTACTGAATCATCTTATCTCCCAGGTTCGAGCGATAATGAGGGACGGACTGCAGTACTACTTTGTGCGCATGATTTTACTACTCTTCCATTGATGGCTGCTTGATTTATTCCTACAGATAGCAACAGCCGCTACTCTAGCGTGCCTCATCTCGTCTCGTGTATCACCACCCTACGTACTTTCGTCCATCTTTTACCTTTCTTGGGCCATAATATCAACGTGCGTATACAAGCAGTTCTAACGACTGCATCAATCCATTTCATGGAAATATCACTCACAAATTGACAATACCACAGATCCATATCTCGATTCGTTTTGAGCCTTCGAAGACTCGCCCTGGAGAATTTAGATGGAGAAGAATATGGGACTAGTCGTACAGGAGCGCAATCTACCCTTTCACCTAACCTATATGGGATAAAGCCCCGAACTGTTCATCGCCCGGTTTTTACTGAGCTTAGCCTTCACTCATCCTATTCCGAAGAACTACCTCGTACTTGAGCGGATGTACTCATATTATATTTGGCGCAAAAGAATTGTGTCTTATGACTATAACATTACCAAGACTCCAAGAGATCGACCTATTTGTCCCAGATTCACTAGATAAAGGCGCTTCTCCATTTTACGAAGGGAGAAGTCCTCCAAGACTTTCTAAGCTTATTCTGAATAACAACATCCCCATAAAACCCCACAGTAACTCAATAATGGAGCCTCGTCTCTTCATGATTTTCAGATCAATCCCTCGCCAAAATGGTATTTTCCGTCTCCACACGCTACTTGATTAATTCTCTATAATATTCAACTCACAGATACACAGCTTTATATTCGTTTAGAGTACAAAATTAAAGCCTAAATCATTTTGGATAATCTCCGAGGGCATTTGAAGACCAAATCTATCTTTTGTATACTGTGGTTGTCAATTTGTGAGTGATATTTCCATGAAATGGATTGATGCAGTCGTTAGAACTGCTTGTATACGC